CATGCCGAGCCCAGCGCTGGGGGAGTGGCCATGGCCTGCCAGGCTGTGTTGGCATTCACTGTTGCTAAGCAGCCAAAGTCCCTCTTTTATGAGGGAATGGATCAGCCTGCTTTTTAGCAAGGGATAAGTGAAAAGGGGAGTAGAGTGACGGGAGGCCTGGATTCCTAGGAAAATGTTGTGCTATGGCAGTTTCAAATGGTAGTTACCAACCATAATTTGCCCAGGAACTTACTTCAATGCATTACAATGTTGGTCATAGCTGATAAGATCTCCATAGTTCTGCACTGATAATGTCACTGTCTGAAGACACCGCCTCATGTTGTACACAAACAACTCAACACTTGATCCTGACACTACAGCAGTGGTGTGACACCAGTCTAAGACCCCTAAGACCTATGCTATTTCTGCTTAATCTATACAAGGCCCCTGACCCTGGGAACAACAGTCTAATCTTAACTAGAGACAAGATGTAAATCATGGTATAGAGCACGCTTATTATCCACTCACAGTTCTGAGAATTAGTCTTCAGGGTTTCTAAGGCTTAACTCATGATAGACTGAAGACTTTTACTGCCACTCTGAATTTAATTTAAGACCAATTTTACAATAAACAAAATCGCAGAAAAACAAAAACAAGAACAGACATCAATTATTACTGTGGTGACAATTTTGCCCAAATGTTTTTGTAACATAAAACATTATGTTTTTGGCCTTGTTAAAAGTTAGATGATCTATTTCAAGAGTTGAAAAAATGTAGTAATTTCTAGGTATGACAACGACAAGGGTAAAACAGAACTGATAAATACCAGGCATTTGTTGGCTGGTTTTCATGGCAATTTTGTGTTTCCAACCCTGCATATAGGATTCCACTGCTCTTATTACCATCATGCCAAGTTTGAAAAACATTTTGCTTAAATTACACCAGGCCTTTTATGCACTGTCTAATACCGGTTTCAGACATGCTGTGAAATCTTGATCAGACAGCCAGTTTTTGTTGAATTTGTTTCCCTATGTCACCCAGGGCACAGTACAATGACAGCTAGCTGGCACACAGTGGATCTTCTGCTCTGAGCATCTCCGCCAGGAACAAAATATGAGTGCTGTTGGTTTCACTATCCTTATCCATGAGATGTTAATGACATTTGGTAAATAATTTAAAAAATCAAATCAAATCCATGTGACCAATTATTTTGAGATTTAACAATGCAATGTTAGATAACACCTGATTAATTAAAGCCTCCTTCATATATTTTAGCATTTTTAAGATTTTTGAGGGCTTGATTTAAAACATTTTAATACCAATTAATGACTTATTTTTAGATTAATTAGCTTAATGCCTTTTGAGACTTTTAATCCACAGAAACCCTGGTCTTATGTCCTTTAAAATCTGTTGGTTAGTGGGTCTTGTTATGTAATCTAAACATTTTCACACTGATCTTCAAGTATCTTTGTTATAAGAATGAGGTGATGTCTATTTTCAGCAGAATTGAGACTCTCCAGTCCAAGATTCAGACCTGAAACCTCAGTGATATATGCTGCCAATTAAACAGTATACACTCTGAAAGCATATACAAAATATTCAAAACCACGAGGATAACCAGCTAAGATCCCTCTGATACCCAACACTCACAGTAAACTGCCAACTACTGTATGGTCTACTGGACCCAATTCATTCTGCTTTGTCAAACAATAAAATGTGGTTATTTTGTGATTGCCTTAGATTCATTATCAACATTACTGTTTGATACAAGGCCTCACCAAGTACCTCGATTTGTCCAAGAAAAATCCAATCCAAATTACTGCCTTCAAGTTGAATTAAACATTTAAAACAGAGTGAGATCAACAGAACAATGCTTCTCTATTTCTAAAGCCCCCCCAGGCATTGGGCAGAAAGGCTCAAATGGCCTTTCCTTGCCTTTGCATGGGTGACTGAACACATCAGTATCATACAGTGAGCAGTTATGAGTAGCAGGGACAGCCATCAAAAGCCCTGGCACAGAGCTGCACCACACTACAGCAGGGCAGCAGGTCAAGCTGGGGGATTCCAGCCAGCATACCACAGGGACAACGCTGTCCTCTGTAAAGCACAGGGGAACAAAACCACACCAATGAGCCTGGTTAGAAGAAAAGCACGGCACTGTCTTTCAACGGTCTGAATATTAGTCAGTCTGCTCAGGCAAGAAGTAATACAAAAGGCTTTCAATACAAAGCTGTGGGCCTATGCCATCTAGTGAAAAACAGAGGTATGTCAGATGTGTCAGCGGCTGTGCAATGTGTCCTGGTTAGCCATTTGTCCAGTTAGCCTAAACTGTGATACTTACACTGAATATACATTCATAAGGCTTTTTCAGGGTTGGACAACAACAAACAATAGAAGCGACCAGTGTGTGTAAACAAACATGCACAACACTGATGGGCAAAAGCATCATTGTCATCACAAAAAATATTGTGCTAGTATAACAGCAAATGGTCACGGTGAGCTGTCACGCTGCACAAATGAATTACAATTAACAGATGAGCAAAAGGGAAATCGACCCACACTCTAAGAAAACGACATGTAGTTACTTGTGGGCAAAACACAAGCAACACCAACAACAATACTATTTGAACCTGGGGCCTGAATCACGAAGTGAGATCAACCTTTCCTGGGTTACCCAGACCTATCCTGGGTTGACTAACCCTAACAATGGCAATCAGGATAATCGGTATCACGACGCTGGATATCAACTCGGTAACTCAACCCAGGGTTGCTTTATCAAGAGCCGTGAACGCACACGCAGCAGACCAATCACAATCATGAGAGAAGCGCAGCGTCACTGAGCGTCCTCACAGAGTGCCATATGTGAGGAAAAAAAGTATTTATCATGTGAGGATCAGAGATTAATTCTACTAAAATATGAGGAGGAGAAAAGCAACATTACAGAAAAGGCCAACACCGTGACAGCCGGAGGAGGAGGAAACGTGTGGCAACGCATAACGGGATGAATAATGTTTAATTTTAGTTTAGATTAGTTTATTTGCACATAATGTTAAAAACAGACAGTATAAAATTTACAAGATTAAAAAAAAAAGTGCTGGAGAGGTTAGAAGCCACTAAAAGCTTATCAAAGAAATTCCCCTGTCAAAATATCAATGAAATCAAATAATAGAGAAGAAAAAAACAGGTAAGGGACACAGTTGCCTTGCCTTTAAGCTGGCATTGGTGGTAGTGACAGCGCTGAAACAATGTCTGCATAAACGGGAAACCTGGCAGGATGCGATCATGAGCGGCATGGGTGTGACGTTCTAATGACGTCTGATGCGTGTGACCGACCGTGGGAGATTTAAAAAGAAGCCGATAGCAGTTAGCAGCTAACTCAAAGAAGATTAACAGCAGTCTGCAAATTGGAAAAACTAAGAGGTCCGGGAGCTCCTGACCCTCAGAACACAGGACGAGATCAGCCACCATGTAACAGGGATGATAACTGATTGTTGCTGCCATGTAATGCTATTGTTCATGTTTAAGAAGCGCTGCTGGCGCATATGTTATGTTACACGATGCTTTTGTGTTACATGGCACACCCGTCAAAGCCTCCTTTGATTATAAGATACTGGCATGCTCTCTAAAAAACACATACTAGAAGCGCAAGATGCCATCATTGTTTGGTTTTGAGTAAAAATGCAAAGTCGACAGAAAGAAGGGACTTCATAGTGGCCTTACTGTGCTGCCTGTGTTAAAAGGGCTTATGTGGGTCCCTCCGTGACATAAGCTTGTGAGGATATTCAATTATCTTCTATAGTAACTTCTCAGAGTGTTTGTGGTATTGTAGTGTATGTTTACAGTCTATAAGCTGTCCCTGCTGAACAAAATTTCATCTTGCAATAGTGTACAATCAGCATCACAAGCATAACAAAATTTGGCCTTTAAGTTATCACACTTTAATCAATGTGCAAGCAGAAAAAAAGTGATTCCACATCCACTTAGTCAAATGTGTATATTTAAAGCCATGACATGAATGAATCTTACTGGGTGTGTATGTAGTACCTCTATTCCTCCCTGGCTCCTGTGACACTCCAGGCCACTGGTAGCTACAGCATTTTGTACCTGACAGATTATCCCTGTGTGAGGCCTCCTCCAGCCAGTCTATAATTAGATCAGGAGTAAACATAGTATGCATCTACAAATAGCAAGGAAAATACTCTTTCAACTCCTTAAATGGTTTTAAACACAGTAGACTACACAACACGTCTGAGACGCTTAAAGAGATAAGGAAATAAGCTAGACTTAAGTTAAAATGTCGCGGTTTTAGCTAACATTAGGAGTTTTGGATACAGTTGTGAACATAACGGCCTAACGTTACCACTAGCGGTCTTGAGTAATTACAAACAAACATGGAGGCCAACGGTTGACAAAAGGAAGCTAATGTTAGCTAGCTAACGTTATCAAACAGAACACTACAGTGCTGGGCGCTAACGTTAAATTCTGTTGATGGGAGGTTGAACTTTTTGGTACCGTTAGTGGATCATTTAAACCACTAAAGTGAGTAACTAATGTGGGAGAAAACATCAAACTGCCCTACCACTTGCCCAGCAATTAAGACAAACAGGTAAGTACTCAATTAAGTTAACAAAAGGCACAGCACTCGGTTTATATTTTGCAACGTTACCTGTCACAGAAGCACCGACATCTCAGACGAGGACCTAATGGCCAATTATCTTCACCTGGACGTTTCCTTCTTCTTGACCAATCAAATGTCAATATGTCATTCAAAACTACAAATGCGTCACACCGGAGTTCAGCTCGCCGAAGTGACGTAAAAGCGTCGTTCGCTTGAACTTTGGCACAATGTGATGAGATGGGGGGTCCTTAATACAAACATTTAGTCACTAACAGTTGAAATAAATTAAGTAAATGCTTATTGCCTTCATCAGTTAAGTTCTGGTAATAAGGTCAGATGTTCAAAATGAAAGCCACAGATATCATAACACCTTTTATGTTTTCCATCTGAAGAGATCAACCACTTGATACCATCAGATTTTATTATATCAAATCTGAATGTACAATAATTAAATAATTACATGATTATAAACCATATGATACCAGGAAGCAAATCTATGTACAATGTAAAAAGTGCATTGTGTTAACAGAAAGAACATATGGGCACACTGAACATCCTAGCAGAGGTGAAAGGAAGCCTCCTATCAAGGTGAGAAGGAGATAAGGATTCCCTAAAAAAAACAGGCTTGATTTAAAAGAACCATTACATCTCTTGAGTCAGTAATATTAATCAAATTTACAATATTTATTTATATGATCATATCTTGTATTTTACAACATCCATTTTAGAATATACTACTGTGCTTGGCGGTAAAACGTGAAAGAAATCAGAAAATGTTGGTTTCAGAGGAAAAAATGGCTCTCATTCATGAGACACGACCACCATGGTTCAGTAGACGCTTGAGACATATTGTATACTGCATCAGTTTTGTCAAAAAATTAGTTTTAAGTTATATAACAGAGGACCAGACACTGTATTGTTGGATTCCTTCATGATGGATCTGCAACATGCTACCTATGCAGGTCACATATATCTGTGTGGACAATAAAGGAAAAGCAGGACAAGCAATCTTTGTGGTTCATTCTGGTATCAGTCTAAATACATAGACAGGAGCAGGACAGTATCACAAACTGATACATCAGGCCACGAAGTGCATGAGACAGGATGAATGTAATAAGACAAGATTATTGTTCCACATCAGTTTTAGGCCACATGGCTGCTGTCCATTAGTGTGGGTATGAGGTGGGACTCCCTGTCCAGAAGGCAAGTCCATGTGCACACTATCAAAGAGGGGGCGAGGAAGGAGGCAGGAGGAGGAGCAGCAGCAGCATGTCTCATCTAGGGATACTGAAGCTAGAGGAGTAAAGGAAGGAAAGCTGTGTTTCCTTGTGTGTCCACTGGCAGGCAAAGTTGAACAGGTGCTTCTCCTCCTCTTCCTTTTTTCCTTTATCTCCTTCTCTTTTATCTCCACTCTCCTCTCATTTGACACAAGTGGGCCAGTTGAGGCCTCCACAGGCAGCAGAAACAATAATGTAAAGGATCACCTGACAAGGAGCATAAAAACATAAGTCACTTCCTGCACCACTGTTTGATTTATCATGCAGTGAAGCATACAGTAGCAACACACTTGAGGAAATTTAGTGAAGAGCCCTATTAGGAAAGATCATTACTGCATGTGTTTTCAGTAAGTTCATGTTAAGATGTACAGGAGTTTTACAGGACAGCTGATCCTAATCTACCTGAAATCAAAGCAGAAGTAGCTGAGTAATCTGGGTATTTTTTTCAAATAAAAAAAAACCAAAAACAATTTAAAGGGTATATCATGAATATTTTTAACACCGTATTTTCCCATGTTTTGTGGCTAAGTGACTAAATTGGTTCAGTATTCAGTAGGTAGATAGATAGATAGATAGATAGATAGATAGATAGACGATAGATAGATAGATAGATAGATGATAGATGGATAGATATATAGACCATAGATAGATAGATAGATAGATAGATAGATAGACGATAGATAGATAGACGATAGATAGATAGATAGATAGATAGATAGATAGATAGACAGACGATAGACAGACGATAGATAGATAGATAGACAGACGATAGACAGATAGATAGACAGACGATAGACAGATAGATAGACAGACGATAGACAGATAGATAGATAGACAGATAGATAGACAGACGATAGACAGATAGATAGATAGATACAATAGATAGACAGACGATAGATAGATGATAGATAGATAGATAGATAGATAGACAGACGATAGACAGATAGATAGATAGCTAGATAGACAGGTAGATAGATAGATACAAAAGATAGACAGACGATAGATAGATATATAGATAGATGATAGATAGACAGACGATAGATAGATAGATATATAGATAGATGATAGGTAGACAGACGATAGATAGATGATAGATAGATAGATAGATAGATAGATAGATAGAGAGACAGACAGACGATAGACAGACGATAGACAGATAGATAGATAGATAGATAGATACAATAGATAGACAGATGATAGATAGATAGATAGATAGATAGATAGATAGATGATAGATAGACAGACGATAGATAGACGATAGATAGATAGATAGATATAGACAGACAGACGATAGATAGATGATAGACGATAGACAGACAGACAGATAGATAGATAGACAGAAAATTTGTCTTTGGCTTCTCTCAGAAATCAAAGGTACAGACAGACACACGAAACGTCAAATTAAACAAAATATACAATACAATTGTGCAAATAGACTAAAGAACCATTACACTGTCCCACTAATTACCACCATCTCACCAATAACCATTTCTGTCCATACTCACCAGGCACACCAGCACAATGACAATAGTCAGCTTGAGGTTCTTCATACACATGGCTCGTGCAAGGTTACGACTTGTGGTCTTAAATGTCACCGACTGAATGGGGTAGGGAGAGAAATTAACATCAGTGACAATATCTGTGGATGAGTAGCTTGCTTGATAACTATCAAAAAATAAATGATTTGTATACTGCTAAATATCATGGGTTAGAAAACAAGTAGGATAAACAGGGCAGAAAGCACTGGTCTTTAAACTCACTGAATCAACCAGATTTTCTGTCTTGTCGATCAGCAACTCAAGCTTCTCTCCTCTCTGAGCTACTAAGTCTGTAAAAAAGACACAAAGAGAGCCAAGAGAGTTAACTAGGAACACACAAAAGGCCCACTGTTATGAGACTAATATCAAATGGTTGGTGAAATCTGACTGACATTTGAGACTGTGATCCTCCACTTTTCATCAGAGTTTTAAGCATTAACATATTGTGTCATTTTTTTGGCCAGAACATTTGCTTTTGGCATGAAGGCAAACGAATACCAGTGCTTAATTGGCACAGCGTAATGAAGAGGTCACTGGTGCAACCTTTACACACTGTATTCTTTCAGAAGTGAAGAAATGCCACTCACACATAACAAGCTTTTTCTGATTACCTCACAGCCCCTTATCAAAAAGAGGTCCTTTTAGCATTACTGTGCCAGGGGGAAACTAATGAGAAGCTCACCAATGTTGCGGACCATAATGCCCTTCAGGTCATCCACCTGCATCTGAGTCTCAGTGACACGATCTGATCCTCGTGGGTCAGAGTGGTGTTTCTACGAAGAGAAAGGTAAGGGGAAAAGACGGAAATGAAAAAGACATCAAACTGTGTGTTGTGATTGCTAAATTTGTTATGGGTGTTGTGTGTGTTTTTTTTTATAGACTACAGAAGTACAGAGCAGTCACAGGGCTCTCACAAGACAGGGTTGCTCAATATGCTTGGCCTCTTCTCATACTCACCATCTGAGCTGCCAGTGTTGAGGAGAACTCGCTGTTCATGGCATAAGGCAGGGCTGTTTGCGCTCTCGACCCGTACGTCGTCTGGAAGCGCTTCTTGACTTCACTGAGGAAGCTGAATGCACGTGACCTCTCAAAGTCCTTTAGAGCAAAAAAAATACATATATGTAAAAGTTGTAATTTTAAGTACATTCCCATTAAGAGGTCCAGTGAAATGATAAGAGGCTTTCTATATCATCACCATGTGTCTCTCAGTGTATTGCACTGTAACAGGCTCAATATATTTCTCCACAAACATTTTCTAGAGATGCATTTGGTACATTAACTTTATTTCTGTTTCTTAAAGTGGCAACTTTACTTCTGAACTCTTCTTTATATTTGAATATTAAGTGCACATACTGTATATATCTATCACTCAACTTCCCACTCACCCCTACACAAATAAAGACACAGACATCTAAGCCAATTATATACTTACATCGTCAGTGATACACAGGTATATGATTCTGTCATGGCAGATGTAATGAAAGAGATAGCTAAAAAAAAAGAAAGAAAGAGAAATCTGTCAACACAACTGATACACAGTTCAAAGTACACAGTTTAACACAGTACCCTACATGCACTGATAAATGTCTAAGAAAACATTAACTACTATAAAAAACAGTAAATGGGTTGTAAATCTAAATGACATTTCCTCTCACCTATTTACTGCTAAGATTTTGGGAGATAAGACATCACATTGTGCTTTTGTGGCATGCGATACCATTTTATTGTTTTAGGCTGTGGTTTCCTGCAGTGCAACCATTTTAAGTTCTGAGCTTTTCATGATACAGAGCTTGTCGCTGTTACATTTTTGGGGTTTTAAAAAGTTAGTCAGTGAACCCAGCTGTATTTCTACTTGAAAATCTTGATTACTTATCCAGAAAACCCTTCTTACAGATTTCACAAGTTTGTGAATGTGCATGAAAAAGACCTTGTGAGATAAAATTAACATCTTGCTGGAGAGTAATTATGTTGGAAGAATTTATCATAACAGCTTTTATTGGCAGCAATAAACTACGATACCCAAGTAGCTGTAACAGTTGCGATTTGCAAGTAAATTTGTTCTACATGGCTGATCATCATTTACAATAGTGCATGACTGAAATTAAAGTTAAGGTGCATGTTGACAGGTATTTTCCAAGAATCACTCAAACACACCCAAACACATAAACATTATCTTGCCTTAACCTGATGACAGGCTAGCCTGTTTTTGTTTGCATAGTCATAGAGGGTGATTACACAGACATGAATAATCAGGTTGCTCACATTCTCGGAACCCATCGGCTGTATTCGGCGTCTAACTTCCGGCAGATACATTCACTGAATGTAGAGTCTGTATATAGAGACTAGGTTGCTCATAACAGAAGTTTGTGTTCACATGCTCAAACACATAAATACACCAAAAACCCAATCCTAAACAGGTTAGTCATGTCTATTACTGCAATCACATGGGCATTAATAATCTGTAGTAATTAGTAATCCTGCTTATGATCACAATCACGATATGCTATTTAAATGAGCACAGAGAAAAGGGGTTATTCATATTCCTCTATACATCCCAGTTTCTTTCAGAGTAGATTTCAGCTATTATATTTGGGTTTCTCATAAACAGAATATGGTGTTTATGTCCTCAAACACATAAACAGAATACTCCAAAAACCTGATTATAAACAGGTTATTCATGTCCATGTAAACACACTTATATTTGACAAGTGTTGACAACCAGAGTTTGCCTAAAGAAAGCACTGCCTTCATGACTTGTCCATCAGATGAGAGGCAGAACTCTAGATAAGCTTACCACTGTGTACACCCATGGTGCACCATTTGATCTGATCACATCATCACTTGTACAGACGTGCAGACTCATGTAGCCACAGCATATGAGTGAGTGACTGCAGTGTGACAGGACTGTAAGGAAGAGTGTAGTAGGTGTGTGTCAGTCCTACCTGCCGTGGCTGTAGGTCAATTTGTTATTCTCTGATGGTATTTTGGCCAAAATCTGTTCAGTCACTTCCAGGAAGTTGCCGCCACACCATGCATGCTTTGCCAGGATCGTGGTTCCACGAGCCACCACAGCAAACAGGATTGCCATGGCAACAGCTGGGGTCTCAGCTTTATAACTCGCTGACAACACATTAAAAAAGAAGAGTGAGATGTTACAGGCAGAGCAGGCTGGGGAAGGAGGAGATTGCTCAACAGAGAGAGTGATTCTGGTGAAACATTTCACAGTAATGTCACATATCTAACAGACACAAAGTAGAGGAAACGATGTGTGTGAATATGTGTAACTTAACTAACGTTTGTAACCGCTAAGCTCACTAAGTTACTAGTTACGCGATCCAGTTGTCACGAGAAACGAAAACGAAAGCCAGAGTAACGGTGGCAGGAAAACAACAAGCTAGCTAGCTAAAAATGTTGTTGACCAAGGAACATGACGGCGTCTGGTTGATAACAACATCGGTCTGTCGCAATACCAATTATCGTGTCTAGCACTGGAGCTGGCGCCATTAACAGTGATATATAATAATGAATTCAATACCTCGATGTGTCAGCGGTGTTCAAAGTAGCTCATCTAAAGAGATTTTACCTGCTAGCAAGCTAGCTAATCCCTTTCGAGTGACTTCTGCTTTGCAAATCGCCCAGACCTCCAGACCGGAAACTGGTTTACTCATTTGCTGGGGAATGTAGTTCTTACCACATTCATAAGGCCGCGTTTTCCATTATATGGTTTCGTTTTAAGAACTACATTTTGAACTTCCTGTTGTGTGGTGTTTCGTCACATGTTTTCATTCTACGTCACGTTATGTCGACAGGAGGAGGAGCGCTTAAATGGGTATTTGAGCCCTTGTTTGGGTCTTACAGGCACATGAACCACTGTTAGCATGAATAATTCTCACTCTTAATACCTACTTGACAGCGGGGATGGGTTCTTAATGAAATAGAAATCAATACATTATAACACCACAACATACACTACATTAAGGGGCCCACTATATGCAGTGTGACATAATAACCAGTTAAGACACACAACATAAAGAAAAATTACAGACTACATAACTGTGCATGCCACAATTTTGCAGTGCATAAAGTGTTTAGTTATAATGGGATAAAGTTTTACTCTTCTGGCTCCTTCTAAGAAATAAAGCAACTATTCATTATCGACATCCTGGAAATTAAAAGATGCTGTGCACGTTAGTCTGCATCGTAGGACTAGCCCCCTTACTGTGTTTTTCTGCTCCAGTGGCAGCTTCCTGACACTAGACTAATTTTTTTTTTGCTTCAGCCATGCAAATCTATGTATAATTCATTTTGAAAGAAAGATAAGAACAATATGTAGACATAAAACTATCCATACCAGGAATACATATATACAAAGAAAAAACAAAATCAAAGAAATGAAAAGGTGCCTTTTTATTCTTAAGGCCTCTCAGTGTGGTGCCATATTGTTGTAGTTCTTGATAGAAAAGTTCAAAATCCAGTTGGGAGGCCGCCCACCTCTACTTGTGAATGTAAATTTCCCCAGTAATAAAAATAATAGTGTTTTGAAAATATGACAAAATATGACACTTTATTTTATTCAACACTTTGTCTGCCATTTTTAGTCACTTTATTCATCTTGATGTAGCAATTTTAATTTATTTCATCTTTAATTTATCTATTATTATTTTTATTTTTTTCTCTTTTTTCTTATTCTATTTAAAGTATATCTTATGTTATCTTATCTTATCTTATCTTATTATTTTCCCCCACCTAATTACTTTTACAACACAATGCAAATATTTTTATCCTGTAATTGAATTGTTATCCCGTTTTTCTTCTTATGTAAAGTTGAACATCCATCCCAAAATATTCTAGTTTACATACATTGATAAAAACATGTTTTACACAATATAGATAAAAGAAATAAGCAACCCCTTGTCCTGTACCTGCCTGTCAGACAACAGTGAGGGCTGAAAACTTATCAATCTCCGTTGACGCACTGGTCGGTATGTGAAGCAGCATGGCTGGAGAGGGCGAAAAGAAGCCAGTGCTGGAGATGGTAAGAAGATAAAATGCCTTATGCTCATTGATATTTTATATAGCTACGTTTAATGTTCATTGTTAATATCTGTCTATAAGAAAATATTCACCTGAAGAAGCTAACGACAGCATTTCTACCGCCAGTGAACGCCTCACGTGGGTAGCTACAGAAGCTAGCAGTGAGAAAGCAGCTAACGTTATTCCACCTGTAACCCAAACTACATTAAAAGCTGCTTACGTCAATGCGACTCCGGTTGTGACTGATATCACAAGAGGTTTTATGTAAAGCAAAGGTTGCCTGAAACGTTCATCACTTTTCCTACTTTACATTTACGTCTCAGTCCAGAGCTGAGTCAGAGTTTCTCCACTGGGGGGCAGTATTGACACAGACCCGAGTGTTTCCTTAGCGTCTCTGTTACATTAGTGCAACTCACGCTTATTTGTGTGCATCTGTGAGATAATAAGTATTGGATGTAGAGGCAGTTCATTGTAGTTCATTCTCTTTGTGACCTACTCTCACACTCAGTAATCTCTTAGGAGGTGATATTTCTGTTTAGAGCTGGATGTGTGATGTTAGATTTAATTACTTGTTTTGTGTTCTAGGTCCAGGCTGATGGGGCTGATGAAGGCTGTGTGACATTTGTGCTGCATGATGAAGACCATACACTGGGCAACGCCCTCAGATATATGATCATGAAGACGTAGGTGTTATTTAACAAGCAGCTGCTTTAAAGTCAGCATGTTGTGGTCATGAGTTTGACCTGTTTTGTTCCTAAAAACACTTCCTCCTCCTCCCAAGAGGCAGGTACAAAGAACAAAGGATATTACTGGTGCTTAATTTAGGAAGTTTGTGATATGACTCCAGCTGGAAGAAACAACTCGAGGGGTCAATTGAACCATTCATAATAATGCTATCTCAAAGGGATTCATAAGTGATAATGTGGTTCCACTTTGTTCGCTGTGTCTTTGTTCTCAGGTCAGCAGGGACGAGTTGATGGTGGAAATATTGTAATACGTCTAACATGCCTTCAACCATTTTAACCAAAAATATTGATATTAATCACAAATCTTGCTTTCATTTTCCTGTTTCCGTCAGTGTGGATGTGGATTTTTGTGGCTACACGATCACCCACCCGTCTGAGAGCAAGATCAACTTTCGCATTCAGACACGAGGTGAGCAACACCCCTTAAACCTCCGTCATTTAATCTCCTTTTTCTTCTCCTTACAATCTATGTTAGTCTATGTATGCATACATGCGTGTGGTAGCTATAGAGGAAACGTTTTCAGGCTGTGTTGCGGGATGAACATGTAAATTGGAGTCTGGTGCGTTCACTTTGTCCACTCAAGCCGAACAAGACATGCCAGTGGCTGCCTTTTAAGTAAAACACAAGCATATACACACCCCCTCTTGTTCTTCCCCACACAGAACTGAAACCACTCGCCTTGTTACAAATAGATCTGTCATCCGCTTTGCACAAAGTGCCTACAGATAACAGCAGCTCCATCACATGAAAGGACTCTGCAAGACTGAGAAAACAACATGTTTTTGTTGTTGAACTAAGTTTCGGTATGCTGGGAGGCTTCATCACAGCAAAACACAATTACCTTTCAGGCACCAGGAAAAATCCCAGTTTCCACTGTGCTTTCAGACATTCAGCGAACAGATATTTCTATATTGCTTGTTCCCCACTGTAACCACAATGAAAATGGGTGGTTGGAAGTCCTCCTTGTCAGTTAGGAAAAAAGCGCTAGGACTCCAAATAACAGTTATTGTCATTCATTTGTTTTCTGGGTCACATTTCTTGTATATCATGTATATCGACAACAACAAGATACTCAAGCTTAGTGTGACCTCCTGTTTAGTTTAATCAGCATTGAATAAAGCAAAGGAGGTCAGTCTGTAATTATAAGAAGCCAGATAAACAAGTAGCTCTCTGTACTTGTGTGGAGTTGTAATTACTTTTGGTTGATTCACAATGATTTTTCATTTCCTGTTGACCTGCTGCATTTTTATTTATTTCAAACTATCATATCATTCCAAGGAGGAGGAGGAGGACAGAAGTGTCCTTTCATCGCTTTGATAAATATTCTGTGAAAGACTTTTAATTTGTATTTGTTTGCTAATTCATTGTCATTTGACTTTGCTGTTCATCTTTGTCGATCGGACTGTGGTCCCTTTCCTTGAAAGCAATTTGCGAATCAGTGCTTACATGGAGGTTGCAATTAGTGTCAGTGTCATCATTATAGATACATGTGACATTGATTAAATATGTAATGTGCTTTGAATCAGGAGTGAGAGGGGAAGGTTTCCTGTGCTGTAAACTGCAGCTTGCATGTTACAAATTTGGTGAAATGGGCCCCTGATAAGCAGCTCCCTCTTCATTTGTTTTTTGATTTTTCTCTGGCAGCCCTTCATAAGAATGCAGGTGTTTGTGCAAACTTTGTTGGCTTAGACAGCGCAAGAATAAAAGCCAGTAGTTTACCTTTTGCTCAATCCTGGAGAGTTGATTGACTCACAAAGTACAATGCATCATCTGTGTCTGTCATTGTTATTCCCATCAGACGTGAATGTTTTCAGTAGAGATATCTGCCATCTGTTTCAGGGGGAATTCCGGCCACAGAGCTGCTGCGGAGAGGCCTGAATGAGCTCAGCGATGTTTCTCAGCATGTTCTCAACACCTTTCAGGTAAGCCTGTGTGTCCACTTTTATTAACAGTTTTTTTTTCACTGAGAGAAACTGACCCCAAATACCAAAATAAACTTGAAAGAAAAGAGAAACATCAAAAACATCATAACTCATAGCAGACTGGCTCCCTCCCAGAGAGCCTGGGGCAGGCGAATATTGGAAGGGATTGTCTGCAGTGGGCCTGCTCCCTCATACAGGTTTGGGGACAGCCCATGGCGATGACACCCATGACATAAAAAGGAAACGAAATCACGAGGACATAAAAACAGGATGTGGTGGGGGGGCTCCAGTGCCCTCCCTACAGACACCTCCTTCCAAGGCTACACCAAATGTTTTACATTTAATTTATTTATGTACTTATTTATTTTTACTTTTCTATGAATACATCTCTAAATTAGTACACTTTATCAACCTATTGATTTATTTTAGGGGTGGGCTCTCTCCATCTCACAGACAGAGAAGGAAGAAAAAAAAGAATCACAAACATAATACTGAACACAGACTCTCCTGCCCATACAGATTGATCTCTCTTAAGTGATAGTATGAGCAAGTGAGGCCTGTGTTTGTATCTGCAGAGCTCCAGACTGCAGCTACTTAATGGCATTTTGCAACCATGGAGCACCAGTTTGACTTGCAGATATTATTGATATATGAACTGGAGAGCTGTTAGTTTGTTACCTGCTTACAGTGAGCAAGTCCTTACGTTCAATGGTGCCGTGGTAACGCTTTAACTTTACACTAACTGCTAATAGCTAACTGTCACAGCAGAAACATCAACATTTGGGCCTGAGACAAGCCGGTGCTTCAGAATAAAACCACCAGGGGTTCCGCTTAAATGAAATTTAATTTAATTTAATTTTTATTTAGTTTAATTTAATTATTGTAACACCTCCTTTAACTTTATTATAACATTATGTTATTTAGTTTTAT